ATTTGTAGCTAAAAAATATATAACCAGTAATTTTGATAAAAATTTTGATAAAGGACCACAGAGTATTGCACTTACTAACCACAAGCAAAGCACAGGTTTTTCCAATGTGTAACTTACTTTACTTTGTAACTCTAACAAACCTTTATTAATTCAACAGATTTTAATCCCTAACTATGTAAAGATATGAATCTCATTATAGAACAAAACAAAATCGAACCACTGTTCATCCTTTGGCCAAATAAAATACAATGCAGAAGTCACCCATGACAAATCAAGCTGTGGGCATAAGCCAATTGACAAAACAATTTACACACATAATGAAAGGTGAAGACTTCACTGTCAGATACAGACACACTAATCCAAGACATTCTAATACATATACAATCCTGCAATCAGTGGTGGCATTTTGTGTATATTCTGCAAAAAAAACAACAACCCAACAAAATCCTAGCAGAAGCTATGGGAAAGAAATCACAGTTACTTTCAACAAGACATTGTCAATGACAGGTTGCATAGTCCAATGAAGCCTACAAAGACAACGGTTCAAAAACAGGCAGCATGACCTTCAGGAAACCTAACTTCCATAGCAAATATCCAAGTGAAAAGCTTAAATAAAAACACGTTTTGAATGTTAATGTCTTAATATAGAGACATTAAATACTGTTTCTGGTAGAAGTTAAAACTAAAGTAATCAGAGGTTAATACTAATGTGAGGACAAATACCAGCTGGAAGAACATACCAGGTTTTAGAATTTCTAAATATTCTCTTAAAATGTATCCTATCTTCCAACCTGTTCTAATACCCTAGCAGTACCTTCAGTCAAGATAACTTTAGATCGGGTAACTACAGAAATTGGTGACAAAAAGGCAAAAAGATAAAGGCAGTCTTTTTTTCTCATTGTACCAAGGAAGAACTGGTAGTCGAAACAGAGAATCTACTGAAAAAAGAATACTAGAATTCCCTTTTAGGACCTACACATGAAGGTAAGTGAGGACATAATGTAGGCTGGAGTCAGACTAACAGGCTGACCTTTTCCTTCAAACCTATAGCTCAAAAGAGCACTTAACTATTACAAATTCACAGCCATAAAGAAGCTGCATGAATGGGCAATACCAGTTGGGAATGTTTTTACCTTTGCTAAATTTGAATGGTTATAGAGATAACATGGATTCTCTGAAATGAAGTTAATATCCTTACGCCCCTGTAGTAGGACAAGTAATATATACAATTTTTGGTTTGGCATTTTAACATGGTGAGAAGAGAAAATGGGTTTGCTCTGGTCTTGCAGTCAAGGAACTGAACTGTGTGTTATTAGATGTGGCAGGAGTGGGTCTAAAGCAGTTTAACTTATGTTAATCTTAACCTATTCTAAAATCCTTTCTTTTCCCAACGTATTTGTCAGTTATCCTGTAAGTAGGGAGGTATTAATCCTGGACATGGCAGACAGACATGTGCTGTTTGTGCCATTTTATGTCTAAGGCTAGATTATTCTTTCTCCTCTATGTCCAAAACACAGTATTAGGATCTTCATTACAGGACAAAAAAAATAAGAAAGCAAAGTACTACTATCACCTAAACTCTTCCTCCACCTACAATAAAATTCCAGTTTTAAACTTCTCACAGATGTTTTTCCTGCAACTTTCTCCTACCACATACCAATTTTCCTTTTCACTACTGTATTCCATACACTGTAGTTGACTGTCATCATCCACTGACAAAACAATTATACTGCAGGATCTGTGAAACAAAAGTAATTTCATAAGTGCACAATATAATTTAATCTATCAATTACTGGAGACCAGTTCCGTGAATCTCAGATAAATGCAACTTTCCTGATATAATACACGAAATATATGACTACTTGTAGTAGTTGTTAAAAGCATATTGTGTCACTGTGCTGTGACAGTATTTAATATTTGAAAGAACTGAAATGGCTTTACTTACCCTGGACTTGAGGGAACCTCCCCAATTTTCATCCACATACCTCTAGGACAGCTCCTGCATAAAGCTGTAATAATAAACAGATGCAGTTAATGACATAAAAAAATTTAAATTACTAGTTTACTTATGGTATATTATCTGCTGAACTGTTTTTTTTTGAGGAGACATTTTCTTCAGTGAGGCGTTGGAACAGGCTGCCCAAGGAGGTGGTGGAGGCACCGTCCCTGGAGGTGTTAAAAAATGGGTGGACATGGTGTTTCAGGAGATAGTGGTTAGCGGTTGTTGAGCAGATGGTTGGATTTTATGATCTTGGAAGTCTTTTCCAATCTTGATGATTCTATGACAATATGCTATTATCTTGATGGTAACTAAAGACAAGTAAGATACTAAATAGAATCACAATTCCAGACCTGTCTCTGATTTATGTGATAACTGCCTGTTCACTCAAGATACATCCTAATTTCCATTCATATATCAAAAATGGAAAAACAGGAAAAATAAGATAATTTGATATACTGCTGCTGGAAGCAAAGCTGCTTTTTTTAAAAAACAAAAACAACTGGATGTGCTACAATAGGAACTATGGACTAGTAACAGGAAAACAACATTCAACAACTCTATCAGCAACCCTATATTTAGATATTATTTTGCACACTCACTAAGACACCAAACATTTATACTGGTTCCCTGACACTGACAGTTATATACATTTTTCTATCAAGAAGTTAGTATAAAGATGTAGACAAAGGAATAAATAGCCTTTTTCTATCTAGTTAACTGATTATTTTATATACGTGTATAAAGAACTACGCACATCCAAGTTTAGGACAATGGTAAAACGAGGATTTTGCAATTCTCATTACTGCAAATGTTTCTTACAGTTTACTTCTTATTTTCAAACGAGGATTTCTATGGAACAAGATCTAAAATACGCAAGACATCTTGTAACTACAAACTACTCCCAGTTTGTAACTCCTAGCCAATATCTGATAGAAAGACAGTTTAACAAAGAAAACAGCTCAATCATCGATGTCTATATTTTGAGCTTATAAAGGCTGCAACTGAAGTCCAACTGTGCTGGTACAAAAAAGTTCAGATTCATGCTGGTACAAACAGCTGCTCTCTAGATGGCTAAACAAGAAAAAAAGAAAAATCAATTGGCTTCATTTATAAGTCTAAACAAAGGTGTCTTTTGCCAGAAACACAGGTTTATTTGCATCACTTAGCCCACAACAAAAGCATACTTGTTAATATCTCCTGCTGCCACCATCCCATCATGTCCAGAGCCCATGTCCTCCAAACTTTCCTGTGAAGGCATTTACTGTGTTCAAGTATTACTAAGAATCACATGTATCTCTCAGTGAAGAGGCATACAAACATGATGAGTCAGTTCATGACACAATGCTGAACTCATAACTTAGTTAATTTTAAAATAATGCTTCACTTGTTTGAATGCTCATGAAAGTGAGTTCAGTACTACAACCAGTGAAATAAAGACTCTGAACTATGCTAGAGTCCATTTTAACATCCAAAACAAGTGCTGTTATGATTTCCAGGCTGAGTCATGTCTGCATCTATAAAAATAGTATGGTTTCTAAGGCTACTGTGACAAAATCTGAAGTCTTTCCTCATCTTTTACAAGGCATTGACTTGAGTTAAATTTCATTCAAAAGCTTTTTGCAAGCATCTCTAATTGTTCACACTGATGAAATGAAGATGGCTCTTCATTTGTTTGAGAGGAGGAAAACACGACTATCAGTCATGTCTGCTTTAACGATGAAGGAAAGGGCTTATAATAACAGAATAAAACGCTATTCACAAAAGAGTAGTGTTAAATATATATATATATAAATAAAAAAAATTGCAAGCATCTCTAATTGTTCACACTGATGAAATGAAGATGGCTCTTCATTTGTTTGAGAGGAGGAAAACACGACTATCAGTCATGTCTGCTTTAACGATGAAGGAAAGGGCTTATAATAACAGAATAAAACGCTATTCACAAAAGAGTAGTGTTAAATATATATATATATAAATAAAAAAATAATTGTCCAGCAATTAAAACCATGGAACCTTAACTTAAGTGAAAGAAAAAATTTCACCTGTTATTAGGAAGGGAATTGAAGTAATTTCTGCAAGACAAAATTCCAGCAGTGCTTCACATATAAACAGATATGATGATGTTGCCACAATCACTCATGGTGAAAATTCCAGAAGAAAAACTGCATTCCTGGGAATGTTTTTACCTTTGCTAAATTTGAATGGTTATAGAGATAACATGGATTCTCTGAAATGAAGTTAATATCCTTACGCCCCTGTAGTAGGACAAGTAATATATACAATTTTTGGTTTGGCATTTTAACATGGTGAGAAGAGAAAATGGGTTTGCTCTGGTCTTGCAGTCAAGGAACTGAACTGTGTGTTATTAGATGTGGCAGGAGTGGGTCTAAAGCAGTTTAACTTATGTTAATCTTAACCTATTCTAAAATCCTTTCTTTTCCCAACGTATTTGTCAGTTATCCTGTAAGTAGGGAGGTATTAATCCTGGACATGGCAGACAGACATGTGCTGTTTGTGCCATTTTATGTCTAAGGCTAGATTATTCTTTCTCCTCTATGTCCAAAACACAGTATTAGGATCTTCATTACAGGACAAAAAAAATAAGAAAGCAAAGTACTACTATCACCTAAACTCTTCCTCCACCTACAATAAAATTCCAGTTTTAAACTTCTCACAGATGTTTTTCCTGCAACTTTCTCCTACCACATACCAATTTTCCTTTTCACTACTGTATTCCATACACTGTAGTTGACTGTCATCATCCACTGACAAAACAATTATACTGCAGGATCTGTGAAACAAAAGTAATTTCATAAGTGCACAATATAATTTAATCTATCAATTACTGGAGACCAGTTCCGTGAATCTCAGATAAATGCAACTTTCCTGATATAATACACGAAATATATGACTACTTGTAGTAGTTGTTAAAAGCATATTGTGTCACTGTGCTGTGACAGTATTTAATATTTGAAAGAACTGAAATGGCTTTACTTACCCTGGACTTGAGGGAACCTCCCCAATTTTCATCCACATACCTCTAGGACAGCTCCTGCATAAAGCTGTAATAATAAACAGATGCAGTTAATGACATAAAAAAATTTAAATTACTAGTTTACTTATGGTATATTATCTGCTGAACTGGTTTTTTTTGAGGAGACATTTTCTTCAGTGAGGCGTTGGAACAGGCTGCCCAAGGAGGTGGTGGAGGCACCGTCCCTGGAGGTGTTAAAAAATGGGTGGACATGGTGTTTCAGGAGATAGTGGTTAGCGGTTGTTGAGCAGATGGTTGGATTTTATGATCTTGGAAGTCTTTTCCAATCTTGATGATTCTATGACAATATGCTATTATCTTGATGGTAACTAAAGACAAGTAAGATACTAAATAGAATCACAATTCCAGACCTGTCTCTGATTTATGTGATAACTGCCTGTTCACTCAAGATACATCCTAATTTCCATTCATATATCAAAAATGGAAAAACAGGAAAAATAAGATAATTTGATATACTGCTGCTGGAAGCAAAGCTGCTTTTTTTAAAAAACAAAAACAACTGGATGTGCTACAATAGGAACTATGGACTAGTAACAGGAAAACAACATTCAACAACTCTATCAGCAACCCTATATTTAGATATTATTTTGCACACTCACTAAGACACCAAACATTTATACTGGTTCCCTGACACTGACAGTTATATACATTTTTCTATCAAGAAGTTAGTATAAAGATGTAGACAAAGGAATAAATAGCCTTTTTCTATCTAGTTAACTGATTATTTTATATACGTGTATAAAGAACTACGCACATCCAAGTTTAGGACAATGGTAAAACGAGGATTTTGCAATTCTCATTACTGCAAATGTTTCTTACAGTTTACTTCTTATTTTCAAACGAGGATTTCTATGGAACAAGATCTAAAATACGCAAGACATCTTGTAACTACAAACTACTCCCAGTTTGTAACTCCTAGCCAATATCTGATAGAAAGACAGTTTAACAAAGAAAACAGCTCAATCATCGATGTCTATATTTTGAGCTTATAAAGGCTGCAACTGAAGTCCAACTGTGCTGGTACAAAAAAGTTCAGATTCATGCTGGTACAAACAGCTGCTCTCTAGATGGCTAAACAAGAAAAAAAGAAAAATCAATTGGCTTCATTTATAAGTCTAAACAAAGGTGTCTTTTGCCAGAAACACAGGTTTATTTGCATCACTTAGCCCACAACAAAAGCATACTTGTTAATATCTCCTGCTGCCACCATCCCATCATGTCCAGAGCCCATGTCCTCCAAACTTTCCTGTGAAGGCATTTACTGTGTTCAAGTATTACTAAGAATCACATGTATCTCTCAGTGAAGAGGCATACAAACATGATGAGTCAGTTCATGACACAATGCTGAACTCATAACTTAGTTAATTTTAAAATAATGCTTCACTTGTTTGAATGCTCATGAAAGTGAGTTCAGTACTACAACCAGTGAAATAAAGACTCTGAACTATGCTAGAGTCCATTTTAACATCCAAAACAAGTGCTGTTATGATTTCCAGGCTGAGTCATGTCTGCATCTATAAAAATAGTATGGTTTCTAAGGCTACTGTGACAAAATCTGAAGTCTTTCCTCATCTTTTACAAGGCATTGACTTGAGTTAAATTTCATTCAAAAGCTTTTTGCAAGCATCTCTAATTGTTCACACTGATGAAATGAAGATGGCTCTTCATTTGTTTGAGAGGAGGAAAACACGACTATCAGTCATGTCTGCTTTAACGATGAAGGAAAGGGCTTATAATAACAGAATAAAACGCTATTCACAAAAGAGTAGTGTTAAATATATATATATATAAATAAAAAAAATAATTGTCCAGCAATTAAAACCATGGAACCTTAACTTAAGTGAAAGAAAAAATTTCACCTGTTATTAGGAAGGGAATTGAAGTAATTTCTGCAAGACAAAATTCCAGCAGTGCTTCACATATAAACAGATATGATGATGTTGCCACAATCACTCATGGTGAA